GTTGCGGCGCCGCACTGCAAAAATTTCGCCATATCACGCTACGCGGCGCCGCACGGCAAAAATTAATTCTCCATATCGCGCATCGCAGCGCGTGTGCCCGCCATAGATATTTCTATGTAAAACGACGCAGCGACACCGCTTTGGCGTCGCACCGCCGCCGTATCGAATCGTGTGCTTTGGCTCTTAGGTATGGAGTATCGTACTTAATTGGAACGTAATGATAGGTACTTTTCTGTGAAGGCTGTTTCGTTTGAAAAAATATACGCAAATGAAAACTTCTTTTTGACGATCGTTATACCTTTAATTATGTTTATCAAAATTAGAGTTTAAATGTTCTGGGTCATTAAATGTCATGTGCGCTACTAGTTGATGTTTAACCTTTTCTTAAAAAACATAAGACGATCTAAGTACCTACCTAACCATAAAATCATTATTCTAAATTGTTTTGTTTATAACAATTAATATAAAAAGTCTCAGTGTTTACCTTGACGTGCTATAAATGTACCTTTTCTCGATGATACTGATATCATCATTCTATTTTCACCCGTTTAAACAAAGTAATGAATATTATTGTTGTCCAAACCAATTATTCATAACTAAAGCCCTTTAGCAACTTAACAACAACAATAAAATGTTTTCGATATTTTGTAATTATTACCACGATCTCCTAAATAATCGTTTTATTGTTTACTGCTCTAAAACACCGTCTCAAGCCTTCTTGCAGGCATCAAGAAATTCACGGTGAACTGAGCGTGCCTCTTTACCGGGTTTTACACGTACCGATTCTTATTAAATTTTAAAGAAGAAAATACCTTATTCCGTAAAAAAAACTATTTACGCTCTTTCGTATTTTTTCTAGTACACATTTGCGAGTGAGCAGTAGACTTTTCATCATATTTTTGACATATTATCCACCACGTACTTACTATCTCATCAAGATCATTTGTACCTATTATTTTAGATGCCTTTATTATTCGAGGGCACATCAAGCTAGACTCTTTAGGCATCTTATGATAGACGCTTTTTATACCTCATAATAATAATAAAAAGCCTTACATGCTGCGACTACTTATTTAATTTTTCGGTGTATACGTAGTCGACGAGCTATCGACGGCCACACAATATTCCCACTGTCGAAAAAGCGCCAGCCTGTCGTTTGTCAGTGAAATCAAAACGTTGTAACAACTTTTTGTTTGGAACAATTGATTGGATTTCAGTATTGAGAATGAGTACCACTAGTCACGATGTACAGATCGGAAAATGTAGTGTGAGCAGGCCGCCCACTAGGCGGACCGACGATCTGGTGAGGGTCGCGGGGAACACCTAGATGCGATCAGCGCAAGATCGGTAGTTGTGGAAATCCTTTAGGGATTCCTTAATTCAGCAGTGGACGTCATTTGGCTGAAACAAATGAACCAAATATGTAAATATCTTATGGTGTAAATACAAGATAGGGGAGAAACAACCCCACTCTAAGGCAACAATAACAAAATGCAAACAACAATTCCCTCTGCCGTAAAATAACAACAAAACAATGAAATGAAATAAATGTTAGCGTGAGCAACGAAGATGGAGCGAAATGATGGAACGACTGCCATTTTGTCGCTCGCATGAAAAATATTTCCACTGATCTTGTTTACATTGACAGCATAATCCGTTCAACGTAAGCGTTTTATGGTTGCCTTGCCAGATGTGGGTGCGTTGTACAGTCGACAATAAACTATTTTTGTGGCAAAATAGTGCTTAATACCCATTGCATAAGATAAGGCAATCTTGATGTGCCAGTCGTACTTAGGTATTATTTTGATATTGGAAACACCTTTGGGTAAGAAATGGATCTATCTGTATGGAAAGACAAACACGATAATTACTTTCTGCTTCGAATTTCTTGTTTCAAATTATTATGATTTATGGCCACCCTAATTTCTAATTACAACGTTACACAATACACATAAAACCACAAAGGTACAAAGTCGAAACCTTTTTCAGTAAAGTGAATATAATCCATCCAATCATTACCATGAATGAAAATAAAGTAGGTACCTACTTCGTTCGTTCGTTTCAGCCAAATGACGTCCACTGCTGGACAAAGGCCTCCCCCAAGGTCCTACTTACTTTATGTAAAATCAAGGACTACATTATAAGTACATATTGCTTTTAAGCATCCTTCCTGTTTTTGTTACTGAAATTAAATTTAAATTGATGGCGCCATAATTAATTTTCTCCCGACAATATTCGATATACAATAAAAGGCAATGTAAGTATCACCGTTTATTATAGTAACCACCTGTAAACCTGTAAAGTAAGCTTAAGATCATTAAGGACCCTGTCGGGCACTTCAATTACAAGAGAATATTAAAACATGTTAAATGAAAACATAAAATTCAATCAAGTAAAGAAAACTCGTATAAAATATAAATTTAACTCCGCAGTTTCTTTGAACCGCCACGAATTTAATGCAAAAACCTTTAACCATTCGAAACAGACTCGTATCGGCCATTTCATAGCGGAATCCCACTTTTATTTGGGCCCGTCGTGTTTACACCAAAAATGGAATTGGAACCAGAATCCTCTTATCTGCCGGCGGCATAAAGCTTAAAATTGGAATTTAATAACTGCACCCCGATTCAGACGTTTTTAAACGACTACGTGCGGAATAAAAATGGAATTTCCGACATATTTTTAACGGTTTTTTCATACGCAATACTGTTACCGAATTGTTTTGTAAACAATGGATAGAAAAACTTTTGTTATTTCATAAATAATAGATGGAAAATGTTAACAACTAAACTAAATATTTGTTTGAAAGCAAATTAAAGTATTATTAAAACTTCACCTCTATTGTATTTTTCCTAAAGTGTGTTTTTTTATTATTACCTACATACTAAGACTTAGGAGCTTAGGGTGCTCTTCTAAAGGACTATGCTGCACTATAATGTTTTCAACATCAAAATAATATCGTCACGAATCTCTCTATTTTTGTATTTCGTCTAAAACTTTTATCAGGTTACCTTTACTACTTGTAGATCTATAACACAAAAAGTGAGATGTTCTGGGAACCACGTCAAGCACTTTGCAAAGTTGGACGAAGTTTGAAACCGTCTCGGCCCCACTTAATAAGCTCGGTGAACGAAATACACTCGCACATCAAAATAACTGAAATACTAAATTCAGTAAAAAACTTACCTAAATATTTTCTGTGTTCATTTATTGTTGAAAAAGTTTCACAACAAGATCAATCACTCGTAATACTTTTATTTTGTGAACGATGTAAGAAACATTTTGTGACATTCCGTTTTTTTGGGATTGTGATATAAAATAAAGGCTGGAGAATTATTCGAGTTGAAGCTCAGTATAAAATATTTTGGTTTAAACGAGTTACGAATAGTAGTAGTATTTTTCTCTTTTTAGTATTTTTGTTCGCATTTAGATTTCGTATTTATCAACAAATATATTTTAGATCATTTTATATGAGTTACAAATAATGTGATCGTTAATGTTTCGATTTCCACTTAGAGATTGAACACATCTTAGATTTGAACCCTCGATAAGAATATTAGGTAATATTTATACCTACATATTTATAATAATAATATGTAGGTAGGAATGGTACACATTTTTACCATATTTGATAATAGGCTAGTTTCCTAAAAAATTTTTTTAGTCCGTCATGTTTAATATCAAAAAATATTGGACACATATATTTTTATTTGTAAATCTAACAAATAATTACATAGTTATGGTGCGTTGAAGTTCCGCACGACGTCACAACGTGCGGCACTTTTATGCAAGCATTGACGTCACGGGCCTCTTCTTATGAAATTTGGCGCGCTTTATCTCTTTAAATTTTCATTAGTTTGAAAAAGTGAAAAATACGTGTGGAGTATTTTTTGATAAGTTAACTGACGGACTAATTAAAACTCTTGCTTTTTGACCCAGGAAACATCCCTATTACACAAAATAATGTGTTTTATATCCTCAAACAATAAAACTACATCAACTCTATTCGACCGCTAGCCGGGTGTGAATATTTAGGTGTTAACACGTCCACGTCCTCGGCTTAGGCCATTAAAAATAAACACCTGGTTCCGTATGTACATCGTTTATCATTCATTGGAAGCCACGACCACCGCGTGATTGACACGATACAATTTATAGGCGCGAACCATCATCGGAATCCTATATTGGAATCTTAACGCGTCGGAATAGCCATTATTTCATGTTATTTTCATTGCTACTCCTATTGTGTTCCCATTCCAATAGCTCGATTGGACATATATCTGTCTTTTTATGTTTGTGGTGATATTTTTATTATCTGCTTAATTGCTTGGACGCTCTTACAGTGGGGCAATGATAATAACAGTAAACAAACGCATTAATAAGATAAGTGACTCAAAGATCGTCAATTTGAAATGATAATGTAGAGACCCAACATAGAAAATAAACTACTATTATTTATTCTGTGCCATTACAATAGTGTCCAAAATACTTGCATAGATAAAATTTATCACAAATTATTGTTTTCCTTGTCACAAAAGAAGCAAAGTATCATGCTTTGTCTATCTACTTCTCTATATATGTAAAATATTCGCAAATAATTCAATGTTTATTAATTTAGAACAGAGTACCTAGTCGCCTGGAAAGCGAAGCGTCGTGGAACTCACTTGAGACCGTCAATTGTTTTATGAAGTGAAAATTATTTTCCATTATGATCCTGAATGCAGGCTACATGTTTATGTACTGTTTAAACACATGTCATATTTAAAAGGTTTTTATCACATTGATGTATTGTGGGTGTGTAACATAAGCAGTTAATTTGAATAATGACACCCAAGAGTAATATATTACAGTTTATCTGACACTTCAGACAGATTATGACCCCGTGAAACATCGAGAAAAAGCAGCAATATGCCAAATGGGCGCCCAGAACACGCATTGTTGTCGCCTCCCTCCAACTGTTTATTAATATCGTCCAATTAACAAAGATCTACGGCCATGCACCACTGATTAAGATAATGAATGAAGCGCCAGTACAAATTCATTACTCAGGGAACTCGCAAAAGCAAAAAGTGTTATCGCAGCGTTTTAAACACACGAACTAAGTTCGCTTCTCGCAACTTTCCCACTTCGCCTGTATAAAATGGATGAAAAAATTAAAAATGTAAGTTTGTTTCCCGTTATTATGATTGCCCTGGTTTATTATGTGTTTGCCCTAACAAGAATGAAGTAGATAACAACTTTATTCGGGTATTCATTAGGTAGGAATCAATTTGCATCCGTATCTTTCGTGACCTCAAATACCCCAGTGGGAGGGGAGTTTCAACTTTGAGTAGGGGATGATGGGGGAATTGCGGACACGGGGTAAATACGGACTAGCAAGTACCTACTCAATCCCTCCACCCCGCGGCAGCCCGGTGCTGTCATCTGTTTCTTTTTTGCCATTTTAGTGCCACGCAAAAACTTACGACAGCCGGCTGCGCACAGTTTGAAAGGTAGGTAAAATTTAAAAAAAATGTGTATTTTGATCTAATTTTTAGTGTTTTTTAATTTAAGGGACTGGTCTGAATACTAAGTGATGGTAAAAAGTTATATTATCTATTGATAGCTTTGTCAATGAAGTTTGAATCGCCAATGTTTCTTTTTATGGAATGTTTTCATAACCTACAAATTTATCTCTTTGATTTAAAAATACCCAATTGGGTTAATTGCGGACAAGCCTTGCGGGGTAAATACGGACGTCTGCAATTACCCCTAATTCGATAAACTATTTAAAAATTTACCAATAACTGGTACAAACGGGCAGTAAACAAAAAGCATTCCATCATTTTTACCAGCACACCAGAAAAAAAGAATCTAGAAGAAAAGGAACAAAAGAAATTAGACAAGAAAAGAAAAGCCCAAGAAAAACAAAATAAAACTACATCTAATAAGCTAAAAGGATCAAAGGGTGTAAGAAATCTAAATTATTTTGAAAATGAAGGAAATGTTGATTACTTTTGCATTTATTGTCAGGAAAAGTACTACGTTCATCCACCCGCCGAAGACTGGATTAGGTGTTTAAAGTGTAACAAGTGGGCACATGAGAACTGCACTGCAGGAAGTTCTTCTAAAGGCTTTACTTGTGGTTTTTGTCTGTGATGTGGACCTGTCCGTAATTAACCCAGCGTTAGTCCGAATTTACCCCGAGCGCTGCGGGTAATTACGGACAGACAAGGTTTTGTTTTTGCTAAAAATATTCCATTTGTTGATTGATCTCGTTTAATAAGTATAACTGTTTTTGTAGATGTTTAACTAAAGATTAATAATTAATAAAGAAAATCTGATTATTACTAATAGTACGAATGTTGTGCGTTATTTCCCTACAGCGTCCGCAATTCCCCCACTCTCCCCTACATAATATACCTACGAGGGGATAGAATCATTTGTGAGTACTTTTCAGAGTAGATTTGAATTAGTGGGAATTTGAAATCGATCCTTTTATGTTTATTTTATTAGACAAACACTTTTAGGGCAACGATTATTCGTTTGTTTTGCTCTCTACAAAGCTGTATGAACTACATACAAACTTTTATACCCTTTTTCATAAAGCTTTGAAACTAGTGAAATACATAACTTTTTAAGCTTTATTTTTTTTTATTGAACAGGAGGCAAACCATAGTAGCTAGTGAAGGAGATATAAGTTACATTATTCTTTATTTCATTTCGTTTTAGAGGAAACCGGCGACCACAATTTTACCGGATAGAGTTGGTGACAAGCCATCTTGGCAGTCGAGCAACGAAGGAGTTCACGAAAGAGTGAACTTTGATGATACCCTCTGGGGGTTTGAGTTGGCTGGGGGCGCATACTATGATACCCCGTTGCGGGTCGTTAAGGTACCTACCTATACCAATTCATCATCATCATCATCCATCATTTCAGCTATAAGGTCATAGCATACTCATCAACGCGGAAAGGGCGCGCTGTCAACCGCGAGGTTATGGTACGGAGTTTCAAACAAAGAATACTGACCGCCTCGAGTTGATACGGCTACGATCCGTTTCCGGATTGATAAGTGTGCTTCGTCCTATAGGTACTAATTATGTATTACCTATTCAGCTATGAGATCTCCATTGCTGAATATAGATCCACTCCGTATGATTTCCAATTGGCCGGTTTGAAGCAGCCCGCGTCTAGCGGCTTCCTGGAACTTCTATTTCACCGTAACCATTTCAGTCTGTCCACATTATACTACTAAAGATCTTCCCGATTGACTGCAAGCTAGAACCATGAATGTTGCTTATAAAAGGTATTTAGGGTTAACAAAGAAAATACATAATAGCATAATATATCGGAAAATAAATAGACAAAGAAACAGAGAAATAACTATCTCCATTTCGTACATAAAGGTGCACTAAGCATTTTAATTAAATGTTTTGCAAAAGAACTTAAAGCAACTTACGTAAAGATGTCCTAAATTAATATGATTAATTATTATTAATTGAAGATAATCATTATGCCATTTTTCACCTTGACGATAATATGACAGTCTTCTTAAAAAAAAAGTATATACATTGTTGTACAAGTATATACCAGCTGTGTATACGTGTAGTGGTTAAACGCCAAGCACTCAAAATGTATGAAACTTAGTTTTGTTTTAGAACTCTAATTATAACTTGAAATGTGTAAAATCCGCAACATGCTTTCAAACTTCCAGTTCCCGAGTTAAGTGTACGATGCAGCAGCAATTTCTAACCCAGTTTTGTATCAAAAGTCTATGCAGGGGACGTCATTTCTTTACGGAAACACAATTTCAACTAATTTACAATTCAAAGACACCAATTTAAACAATTCACGCGTATCTGAATTTGAATTGTTCCATAAGAATATAGATTAGGTAAGTAACTTGTTAGAAATTTGATACTTTTAAAGCATTTACTGTGAATATTTAACGAGCTCTTAATTAATAAATATAAGTTAAATCGAGACTCATGTTAACTCGGTCAATATAGAGCTTAATTTTCAAACTGATTAGGGTTTGTAGGGTGTTATCTTAGATTAATAAAACCTAGATGGATAGTCTTCATACAAACGCAAGAGTGAGGCAAAAATCTTATGTCATTAGTGTCAATTTTGTTGGGGAGTGTAGACAGTGAAGGGGATTTTCCCGAAAGTAGGGAAATTTTTAATACGTCTTTAATTATTTTATAATTAACAAAAACAAAACGCATCATGTACTTACTTATTTATTGAATTCAAAGTACCTACCTAATTACAATAAGATAAATCGACTTAAAAGTCTCGATTTCATAAAAAAGGAAGTGTATTTGTACGGCGAACAATTGGGAAATAAATTTTCTTGTTACTGGTATCATTCCCGTATTTAATTTTTGAAAGCCAAATTCAAGCAAAATACGCGTCGAATCGTAGTACTTACTTATGAAATGTAACACTGGTCACTTTCTTTCGTTTTTCTGATGTATTTAGACACCCTTTCACTTTGATTTTCACTTTGACAGTTCATGTGACGTTTACGAGTGAGCCATTCAGGCTCACTAAAATCTGCCTCACCTTTCGTGCACTGACTATCTATCTAGGTTTTATTAATCTAAGGCTGTTATTATAAAAAGAACTAACGTGGTCCGAGTATACGTAGTAGGACTTACCTTTAAGTACCTTTAAGACTACCTGAAAAATAATAAAAAATATGAAGTTTGTTTTTCACACTACCTATCTAGGTACATACTTATCTATGGCAAGACATATCTATGAATAATTGCTAAAATCACGAAGCATTATTAAGCATTTAATAGTGAATAGTATTGGAACAGTATATTACACTGCACAACAAAATTGCAACTTTTGGCTGATGATTGACTTTCATTACATGATGTTTACTAATTTGACGTCGCTGATTCTGAATCTGCCGTCCATTTTTTCGTAGCAGCTCTTGTTTACGTGTTATAGCTTTCACTCAAAAATTGCTAAATTTCAGTCTTAATTCGCCGACAGTTCAAAAAATACTATGTTTTCTTTGTATAATTTAATATGGTAGCATTAAGAAGTGTTTGTGTGAATTATCTAAATCAATTTTGTTTCATTTGCGGAGAGGATATGTTTAAATAATCCGTTTAAATGTGACAAAGTTCGTAAAATTGGCTTAAAAAAATTAGTTTGGGGACCCAGTGGAAATGAAAGATAAGCCTTGAATTCCACAAAAGGCGTGGAAAAGATGCGTTGAGTTTTTACGTTTATAAACAAATAAGAATATGTGTAGATTTAGGTACGAAACCGCTATGATCTGAAAGGAACCCTTGAACCATCGCGACGACTGTTATTTTTATTTTTGAACAAAAATGGTATTAACCAAAAAATATTGAACTAAATAGTAATTCCTTGCATACGTTTGGCATGTAGACGTCTTTTCAACCCTAAGAAGTCACCTGAACCTCATGTTGATACTTCACATGAGGATTTTGAGGCGAAAACTGTCAGTGTGGTAGAGACTTTGAATGTGACCCGAAATTTTCAAAACCATGTAGCCAAGATGGTTTAAACGATCGTTTTAGAGATTTAGGATCTTCAAGTCTTCCGAAAAGACATGGAATGAGTTATTTTGGCATTTTAATTTTTTTTTTGGAAAATCCGAAAAAATCTTACTATTCTTACACATCGAAAAACGTATGAGTCACTTACAAACATGTTTTTCTGGTTGGATGTAATATAAACATCGAATTACACTCTCTTCGTAATCACCTGAACAATTTTATCACAACTCTTAAGGATCTAAGTGAAGAACATGGCGAGCAAATCCACCAGGGCCTTCGTACGATAGAGGGACGCTATCAGGGCCACTGGAATGCACACATGATGGCTGACTGCTGTTGAATCATTCAGAAGAGCTGTCTGCCTTCAGCATCAGCAAGGAAGTCAAATAAAAGAAAGTTTTTTCAACTTAACAACTTCATAAAATAGGATCATCTCTAAAAAAAGAGTGTTTTTTTACAAAAAGACCCAAGTGTCATATTTTTTTAACCAGAGCTGATACAGATATTTCAATCACAGATTTGAAATCGTCATTAAAAATTGGACTAATATCATGTAACATAACCCAATCATCAGAAATGCTGTTGTGCAGTGTTATTATTCAAGAATTCAAGATATCGTCTTTCGTGAATATTCCATTCGAATACGCCTTATGATTAATTGAAAATCCATAATTGAAATTGCAGTACAGCCATAGATTAAAATGCAACCGCATCGTATCACGACCGTGGACGCATAAATGTCTCCGTTGAATTCCTTCCACTGGATCGGTTGGGGTAGTGATGGGAATCAAATAGTGTAGCCCACCGAGCAAATATGCGGAGAATACAATGACTGTCATAATGTAGCACGCTATATTCAATCAACCGTAGCAATTTCAATCATCTACCAATACAATACTATTGTGGTAAACTAACTCAATTAGCTTAACTGGTTCAGTAGTGGCAATATTAGTTTTACAAGTTATAGCCACGTCTTGATGGAGTGTCATCCTCAAGAAATAACTAGAAATAGGTGCGTAAACAAAGCGACAGTTCGTGCTATTTAACGATCTTTTGGAAGGCATTCAGTTGTAGATTGTTACAGACCAGCGGAATCCAGAAAATATTTTTTTACTTGGAAGAAAATTACCGCATAATTTTGGCTCACCGGACAAAAATGTTCTATCCCATAGCAACTTAGGAGTCATGGGACCTTATGAACATTAATTTGTTCCCAGTAAGAATGAAAAAAAAATCGGTGATTAAGTTCAAATCATGCTCAGTCCTCGTCAAAATTTAAAACGAGAGTACCTGAAATTATTTAGGGTGGATTCGACCAAACAAGAGTAAATATGAATCTCAAAATAAATAGTCAGTTTTGACATAAGTATTTCCCATACTGAAACTGTTAATGTGCCAGTTATCATCAACAGCCCTTTACAGTCCACTGCTGGACTATGAGCCTCCTCCACTATAGTGGAGGGTTTTGCCATAATCTCCACGCTAGGCAGGCGGGTTGGAGATCGCAGTTTAAAAGATTGATGTTTTTCAGAGAGCGCTGCTGCCCATTCTCTATTTGATGTGTAGTCCCTAAGTCGCCTCTTACGACACCCGCGGGAAGAGTAGTGCCAGTTATACCAGGAGTTATTTTCGGATAAAAGTTTGGTCGAATCGGGCCTAAGTAGCATGTTGTGTAGACTAACTCACTTCGTAGACTGTAGACGTCCCCTCACTAGTGCGGGCCATTCATTAACTGGAACACGGGCGCTATTGTGCCTCCGTCATTTGCGGTTCGATCTTTATAGTGCGCTACTAATAAGAAACGCAGTTTGTCTGTTTGCTGGCAGTTATTGGAAACGACGATATTACTTGGTAATGTAAGTTTGAGTAGCTATATTGAAATCTACTTTAACATATTATAACATCAAGAAAAAGTGTAACGTATAAATAGAAGTTCATTTAAAACCTTAGCTATTTAAATTATGCAATTGCATATTTACAGTCCTAGATGTTTAGTACATCATATTATATCTACGTCAACTCAATTAATCTAACGTTTGATGTTGAAATAATTAACCCGCTTTACATAAATTAAACACTTAAGTAGGCCGAGTTGCACCACCTAACTTTGACAGTTGACAGATTTTTGACGTTTGTTAAAGTTAAAGTATGATGGTGCAACCCAGCCTCATACTATTACGCTTCATGTTCATTAAACTAATATCTGCGCTTAGATATTGTTAGATCACACCATTTAAGGTTCAAATTCGATATTGCGGCAGAGTAAATACGAGAGCAAACCCACGCGCATTGTATAGAGGTTTAATAAACGATTCCGGTCTTTATTGCCTTTCCAGAATCGAAATGATATTAGAAAATTGTTCTGATTTTATGATACGTCCACTGAGTTGACAAAGTAATACATTCGGCAAGGTCTTCTCACAATATCCGAAATTCATTGGCTATATTAAAATGAAATGCTGCAGAGATGTGAAAAAGTAAAAACTATTTTAAGTTTGATTTTGTCCAGGTTCAATAAAGTAAGAGTAAGACTATCTCTCAACTCGAAGTTTCTGTAGGTACCTACTACTTATTTTTTATGTGTTCTAATACGACGCAAAACTCAATTCAAAAACGAGCATAGATTTGCAAGTGGTCTGAAGATTTAAATTCAGCATGATACTGTCTTGGCAACTTTTTTGATTTGAGTATTTATTATTTCAAAATATAAGCCTTTGCCTTGATCTTGAACTCATAATTTAAGTACATTCCTGTTACTTATAGGTTATACATGAAACTTATAAGTAAGTGCGAATTAGGACGTGCCTAATTCAGATCCTGAAAATTTACAGGAAAACCAAATCGGAGATATAATATAAGTAATTAGATGGTATTGAGAACCATTTGAGCTAAATAAGTTATCTAGAATCTAGACGACGGAGTGTTTTAAGTAGACATTCACCCTTTGTTTACAATTTCAGGTGAAACACAACAGCCGAGCAATGTTCGCCGGGATCAAAGTGGGGGACGTTCTGCAAACCATCAATGATATCAACACCTTTACTCTAACGGTCCAAGAGGCCCACGACATGATACTAGACTCGGGCATAGAAATCAAGCTGTCTTTCTATGCGTGAGTACATGTGATACACTTGGTGGTAAGGAAATAACTAATTGAAGGAACAAAGAAAATGTTACTATAACGTCAGCTACTTTAAATGTTATTTGCAATATTCAAAATTCTTTTTAATTGGTTAAACACAAAATATTCGCAATGCCTTCGATTTAAATGATTGATTTTCTAAAATGCCTTGAGAACTACGTACACTCCATACTCCATAGGCGGCGATAAAATACTACTATTTTCTTCTTAGCTTAACTAAAAATATTTCATGATTATTATTCAACTAGAATCCTAACTAAGTATCTGAGTAATGAGACTAAGACGCTGCAGCGCTAACGCGATAAACGCGTTTCCTTCTAATTAGAAAATCCAACAATGGTTGATTATTTTGCCACGAAGTGTAATTTACACACAGTCGCAACGTGATGCATAACTCGAAGTTTCACAAACTAATTTAAAGTTTCAAAGCAGTTCTATTTATTTGCATACATGCGGTTGATTGTAATTTTTCTAATTAACTTTACAGGCCAGATGTGCTAGAGACGATGCATTCTGTTTACCAGGATGAAATTGTGAGTTTCTGGTATTAATTAATTAGAATAATTAAGTTTAATTCTGATTATTTCCACTATCACTACGTATACTATGACCAGTTCAAAGAATTCTCTATAATTAATGTGATAGCTTACGTCCGTATTCACAAACATTACTATGAGGTCTCATAGTGCGCGTAGATGCACAGGGTGACATACGGACCAATCACAGAGACCGTATGCGTACGATTTTCTGCTTCATAATATATAATCCTTCAAGCTCCGCGAATCTAGACAAAATAGATAATCAATTGTTATGACATTAATTAATGCCGTCTGGGACTCAATCGGTTAAGCAAGCAAAGTTTGTGAATACGGGCGTTACTCACTAAACATTTCATCGATACTGATATTTCCTCAAAAAAATAGATTTTATTTATTTAATTTATTTCTTTTTCAGAACAACGACAAAACCGAACCTAAAGAATTTCACTATTTTGAGGAACCTGTGCGTGATTTGTCATACAAACATGTTAGAGCTGTGAGTTTCAAAGAATATCAATAAAATACACGACGTACAGTAACAAAAATACAAAATCTTTATCACTCTAGTGTCTAGAATAAAGATTAAAAGCTTAAAACAAGCTTTAGAGTTGTATCGAATCGTTAAAGCAATGTAGTTGTTGCAATTCACGAAGGCGAGTGAGCTTTACATGTGTGGTGGCTCGCTACTGTTCGTTTTTCAAAAGTTTTGATAGAAATTACACTATCGTTACTGCATGTACACGTACACATACAAGTATAGCTCAAAGCTCACTCGCCTTCGTGAGTTGCAAGAACTATAATGTAATATTGATACGGATCATGTGATTAGTTTATTTATATCTGTCAATTTTGATTAATTTCCAATAAACTTTCTGTTTTTGTTTATCCAACTAAATCCCGATTTATAAAATGGTTTACAGGATCATTGAATGTTCAATGAAGCTTCATTCATTCATGGTTGTCATTTGTTTTCTTAATTGCTCCGCTACATAATTCATGAAGTTAATATATTTTTATTGGTTCCAGAATCAAGCTTGGAGCATAATTTGGCCGTGCAATAAGAAAAGGGACATTTTGTATAAGGAGTCCAACTGTTTCTTGGTGCCCAGTGCTTATGAAAGAAAACACAAGTAAGATTCGAGAAAATTCCGTAACATATTGGGGGAATACCTGCGGCTTTCTGGAATTTTTTGGTATTATTGGAGGGAAAATGGGTTATACCATTTATATATAAGACATTATATTTGAAGCTATTTTCATGTATTTTTTAGGCAATAAAGATACATAAACACATCTCCTACTAACCATGAGTTTCTTTCATCGATTTCCAAAGACAAATGCTGGCATTCAGTCATTAATACCTAATTGATATCACAAATAGACAGATATAGCTACATTACGTAACTGAAATATGATTTTTAGACAACTTTCATTTAATTAGCTATTGAAAGTTTTTCTTTTCAATTTACCTTGTTATAATTCGAAACTTAGCGCACTGAAATTCATCAAACAAAAAATTAAGAAATTCATTACGTAAAATATCCAATCAGCCAGCAAATATTTAAGCCGTTGAAATCCTAGAACTTTTATTGCGAAACTGTCCGTCTATAAGTTACCTAAAGACTCTAAAACTTTTCAATTAAGTAAGGTATCGAATGTCGGAAGAAAAAGTTAATCGGACTTCGACTCGATGGTTTGTCGAGACGAAAAGGGACCACACTTATCGTTGCGGAATCGTGGCATCTAGTCTAAACGATTTTGTTTTCGCCCTTATTGCATGGACTTAAAGACTTAAAGCGAGGATCGATGGAGTCCACATCGATAAGTGTGGTCACTCCCTAACTGCGCTTTCTTTGTTGCAGGGAACGGTTATTAAAAAATCCGGCGCCGGAGAGCAACGGGTCTGTTTGAGTAGGTTTTATGAATTTATCGACTTTTCAACTTAGTCAAACAACATCACTATTTTTCATTGTCTAGTAGAGCCAAAGGTTTCTTTTATTAGACACGTACATTATATGAGAGAATATGAGCCGTCAATAGCATCTGAAGTATATTTAATAGTGCCCACGCTATACTAGAAACAAAACTGTTAAGTATTTAGTAGAAGTCTAATCATTCATTTTCTTTTCATTAAGCAGAACTTAAGTTACTATTGCCGAATTTTCTTAAAAACTTTTAAGTTTGTCATCATTAGTTTTAATACCGTACCGCATAACAAGCAGAATAAAGAAATCCATTCCTAATAATAAGTATGTTTAATTAATACCCTGTTTTTTGCATCACCACGTTTCATTTAGTATCTTATCAATTATAATAATAAACTCATAAAATTACATCAGCCTGAAAACTTTGCATCAAGACACAATAACTTAATATAGGTATTATATCAATGTTGCTAAGAAGATTACGATGTAGATTATAGTCGTTATGGTAATGGAAGCAGCACCCATTAAGGTGGTCACCCACCGGTAGCACCAACTTGTAACAAAACAACGCAAGTTTCGAATTTGAGCTTTACGTCAAAGCATTACGCTCTTGAGCGGGCTATGCTCGGAGTTTCCCTGCGTGATCGAATCAGAAATGAGGAGATCCGCAGGAGAACCAAAGTGACCGACATAGCTCGCAGAATTGCTAAAATCAAGTGGCGTGGGCCCCACATAGCTTGTACAGACGATGGCCGTTGGGGCAGAAAATTTCTCGAGTGGCGACCACGGGCTGGAAGACGTAGTGTGGGCAGGCCTCCTACTAGGTGGACCGACGATCTGGTAAAGGACGCGGAAGAGCCTGGATGCGGGCAGCGCAGGACCGTTCACTGTGGAAAAACTTGGGGGAGGCCTTTGTCCAGCAGTGGACGTCATTTGGCTGAAACGAACGAACGATTATGCTCTTACGTAGTTCCATTACATGCAAATGCTGCCAGTGAGTGACAGCCTTTATAAACTCCTTCACTAATGGATCGCCCAAATGCAATAGGCAAAAGCGATCTCAAGCACACGCCTTAATTTGTGTTACTAAACATTAAACTCAATCAAAATCGGGGTAAATTCTATTGGATTAGTATCTAAACTAAACTAAATTATATGGTAACATCGTATAACTTGGTATAATATTGATTGAATATGTATCAAGAATATAGTAAGAAGGTACTAGCTAAAGCCGAGTTGCCAAAAATATTTATTTGTCAGTGCTGAAAAATGTCAGAGCTATTTATTTTTACATACAATGTCAACTAGAAACTATTATATAGTCCGTATTCACACGCATTACTATGAGGTTTCACAGTCAAGTGCGCGTGGACAAACAGGGTCACACACGAACCAATCACAGAGCTCTATTCAACACTGTGCATTAGATTTGCTGCTTCACTTAAGTAAGTATCGTTTGTGACTACGGGTGGTAGAGCTTGAAGCAAACTAAAGTTGGCAGTAGTTACAATTACAGGGTATTCTTTAAATTAAATTCATAAGGAATCCCATTATTATACTGTAAACAAAGTGCCTACAAACCAAAAATACGTCAAATAATTGTTTAAACAGTTGGCTATTCATAAAGCAACCTTATTAAAAAGTTAATTTTAATCAAAAGTTTCACACGGGTTGGTCATCTGAACCCGTAGTTACCCTTTAGTTCGGTGCCATAAGTGCATAAACATGTTTGTCGAAACTAACCACTTGGTTGATAGACATACGGACACCTTCGTCCTTGTTTATAAACAAGTGAGTACAGTCCGTTGGGTTAAACGTGAAAGTTGCTAACTTTATTATACATGCTTTATAATGCCGAATTTAGGACCGGCCATCCACGCAAACCTTGCTTTGAATCTGGATGCATCTTTAGTAGCTTTACATAGCATAAGACTTAGTTTAACCCGCAACTTTTTAGTATAAGCTAGGTTTGGATGTAAAATACTTTAACTTTGACAAACGTCAAAAATCTGTCAAACTCCATACTAAATACACCGGTTATCGTTATAATTACTGTCAAAGTTAGGTGGTGCAACTAAGCCTTAGTAAGTCAGTGAGAAATCACAATTTCAAACTTGTACAAATAAATAAATAAAGACATTTTAAGAATACATAGGTTGAAAAAAATATTTTTCTTTCCTTTATAAATAGATTCAAGAAGCTTTTTCATTATTTCAAATCCATATAACTTCGTAGTCCGTAGCATACTACGAATAACGTACGCCTCTTCGTAGCTGACTGTAAAAACTATAACTGTCACCTTTTTCATGCAAAATTAATACGGGACCCATGTCTGGGCAAGTCCACCGGAATCCGGCAGTGATTTGTGAGGCTTGTTCAAACAAGCCGCAAGTTGGTGTTATTTTAGGACTAATGACCCTCAGAGTTTTCGTCGCGATACCCAACAACTGATACGGCTTATTAAGGTAAAGCCCTTGATTATGTAATATCATGGACACCACCTTTTCGTATTGTTTTTAAAATAAGCATCCTGCGTCTCTGTTTAAAATGGTTAAACATTATAGGTAAAAACTTGGTCGCCACTCGTTGCGAGAAATGGAAAAGTTGATGCTTGGGATCTCATAAAATGATTAAATCCAGGGCGAAGTCATTCTGCAAAAGACCAAACTAATGGGCACAGTCCAAAACTGTAGCAAAGTTAAAATGGAAGAAGGTCATGGACGTGTTCTCGAGTGGAAAGCACGTCTCGGTAAAGTTGAGTCACTGAAATTAGCTCGATAAAAATAGTGAGGAATCGTGCTATGTTGAGTTCTGCACTGGTCTGTCACTGGCTGAAATGATAATTATGACATTAAGATTTATAAAAATATCATTATTAGTTCTTGCAACTCACGAAGGCGAGTGAGCTTTACTTGTGTGTCTAAGTAAGGTACATTCACATAACTATAGTGTTAATGTCTATCAAAACTTTTGAAAATCGAACAGTAGCGAACCACCACACATGTAAAGCTCACTCGCCTTCGTGAATTGCAACAACTATACTACATTCTACATTCATTGGACATTTTTCCATCTTTCCCTATGTTTTGGCTCTTACTGTTAGTAAATTCTAATATATTTTCAAACTATCACTATCACTTCGCTCCAAAATATGGCCTCTGCTAATCCTAGGCATACTTGTCTAAATGGTCACGCTACGCAATATTTCATGGGTAGCCTTAATTGATTATTATGAATTATGGTAAGTAGTGAGTCTGAGCATAAGCCACTCAGTAAACAATGTTGACGTAACTCTTTTAATACCAAACTTACACCTACCTTATTTACGTAACCCATAAATGATGTTAAAATAAAAGTTTTCTATCAAATAATGTTTGTTTTCCATCAAAATAAAAAAAAAAACGTTAAGATATTAATAATATTGGTGTTTGTTCAAAAAAATAGTCTCTTAGGAAAATATTCCCTCAAAAGTTAGTTCCGATTTTTTAGAACTATTCAAATTTAAAGATTCTCAAGTACTCGTAGATGTAATAAGGGTTACTTCGCTACAAAAAATATAATGTGATATGCTTATTATAACAAAATGGTGATGTGTTCACTAAAATAAAAACATCGACAATTCTCGATGGTAACCCAACACAATACAATTTCGATGCCAACATCGTTTATGGCGACCCAACATTTGGCAAACCCTGGTCCAAATCAAATACTCCTTACAAACCCTTGTTTGAACTCTGACCGGCGATCGGCACCGAATCGTGGTATCATCGGATTGTGTCAATACCCAGTATTTGCGGACTAATAACCTGTGATTGAGAGCAGCTGAAACGACCAACTTGATTATGCCAATTCGATTTAGTTGAACCCTGTAATATGCCCGCAACGATGACGTACGGATGGTATACCTAAAGTTAAACACTGGCATCTTATCTAGTGGTCATAGGGGATATTTTGCAATAAAAAGTACAAGATGTATAATCAATTGAGTAATGATATGGGTTACTCTTTAAGGTTTGGTGTAGCGGTGTTCCCTAAGGCCAGTTTAACTCGGTTCGATTCATAATTACGCATGACTTTCCCCAATGAGTAACATAGCAAACTGCTTAAAGTAGTTTTTGATGTATGCCTTTAGGGGAGACCTAGGAGAGTTGTGACAATTTTTACTTTAGGGGCCATATCTCGCTCAAAAAACATTCCACAGCTATGAATCATACAAATTAATGTAGCGCCGTTCCTTCTGTTTTCAAAACAATCACCAAAGTTAACTAAAGTATTAGGGTTTCTAAGAAAATCACCAAAATCTTAGACCACTCCCTCTGTCACAACTCTCCTAGCACCGAGGTAAGTTGTGACAGGTACCGAGGTGAGTTGTGACAGCATTGTATTTCATCTATTAGATATAAAAAATACCATAATACTCAATCAAAGATGATTTTTTAGCAAAAAAGTACTTTAATCATCCTTTAGTACCTACCAGTTAAAACAAATAGTTATAGGATGTCGTTACACAGATTGAGCCACATTTCTCCAGCTTTCATTTTTCTCCCACGACCCTGGATTTTTTTAATTATATTTTTTAGCTAATATTATAGTCACTTAATACCTATAGTATTTTCTTTCTCTTCTATAAAAATAAAATAGTCGCGGTGGTAGGTATAATCCATAGACGGAGCTTCGCCTTCTGGGTTTACTTGATAAGCCTCTTTCTTCTTAATATATCTTGACAAGTTTAGATTGTAAGAGGTCGCAGCATATCTTAAACTTTAACCTAATCACTTCATAAGCTAGGTCCTAGATTCCGACTTTAGCAAGCAGTTCCTCTATATTAGGCGTTCTGAATAAAAAAAGTAACAGCATGCAATTATACAAATTATGGACCTACTAACACACAAAAAAACATCTAAAAACATCGTGGAAATGGCCCATCAGAAAAATTAAGTAAGCTAGGAGAGTTGTGACAGGCTGTCACAACTCTCCTAGGTGTTTAAAATGACGACTTGGTTCGAATAATATTTTTTATTTTCTAAACACGATGCGCACACAAAAGATCAGTGCTACATTTTGAGACCTGAATAACCATGCAACTTGAGAAAAAAATAACACAATAGTGCACATATACTAAAACATGATATAAATTGAAATAAAATTTTGAAGAAAAACTTACTTTTCGCATTTTTTTGTACACAGACGTCATATTTACGTAACCGTGTCTCGTGCGCCGCCCACAGGTACTTAGTCAAGAAGAGCGTCTTAAAAGCGACAAACAAGCGTTTTTACCACCTTCCTAACTATATTAAGTAAGGAGA